CTTTGCTTGAAGGCTTTGATGTGTGGCTCCAATCCACCTGCCTTCCCCTGGTCCTGCCAACACTAATCCCCCTGATATTCAGTAATTAAGTCCCAGGAATTTTATATCCTTTACCTCCTTTTGTCCTTTTCATTTTTTGTTCTGGCTGGGTGAGTTGAAAACTTCGTTTTAATTGTTTTGCCTGTTAGTAATGAAGTGCAGTCATGCTGTAAACATAGTCATGAGTGTTAGCAACTCCTCTGACTTTGCCCCCTGTTCCAGGATTGCTGTAGTAAAAGTGAATTTTAGCCATCCAGCCTCTGTGTGATAGAGAAACACCACTGCTAAGTGCTGCACACATCTTCAGTTTTACAAAACTCTTGCACGAAGACAGTCCAACCTTAATAGCAGTTTGAGTTTAATGAAGTTTGTTTTTCCTACATCTCTCACTGTCTATGTGAACACTCCTTTTTTAAGAGGGCAGTCTAGCTTGGAACAGAAGAGCCGTTTCTGTTTTTTTCCCAATGTTCCTGTTTAGTTTTTTGACAAAAAGAACAGCTGTCGGGTGGTGGAGATGACACTGGAGAGACTGAACACGCTGGATGAGATGCAAGAGAGATGTAGAACGCAAGGTGTGGAAGTTTTATTTAGTAGCGGTAATTACAGAGGGGATATGCACTTTCTGAAGATGCTGTAATTCTGTTCTGGCAGTTTCAGGACTCGTTGGAGATGAAGAAAGCACTCTGAGCCTGTTCGTTTGTCATTAAAACGGGCTTTCTCTCCCTTCCTTTCAAGTAAAAAAACAACACTCCGCTCCGATTTAATCTGTCAGCGGGCAAACAGGATTTCACAGAAGAGAAAAGTCACTTTATGTTGAGAGCTCAATGGCCCAAATTCTACAGAAAGTAAACCTAAGACTTGTGATTCCATTACTTCAGTCTTAGGTTCTCTGCACCTGCTTCCAGTGGAGCTGAGAAATCTGAGGTCCTTCTCTTGACTTAAGGCAGGGGCTAACGTCTGATTACATCCGAGAACTTCTTTAGTCATTCTCTCCTCATGCTCGGCATTCCACCTCTTCGCTCCAGACAAGTCCCGGGATCTATAGCTAAGTGACTTTCC